TGGTATCAAAATTCCCGGCCTGGATTATTGTCCCAGTCCGCCCCTGGACGGGGTGCTCGGTTCTGTTGACGGGGCCGGTATAACGGAAGGAGAAACACTGCACATGCAATGTTTGGCAATTACTTTACACTGGGTACCCTACCCAACGCAACCTGAGCTCAAACCAGCAGCCTCAGGACCGCAGCACCGATGTCCAAGCTGTCACTGCCCCAGAATGCACTAAGTAAAGGTATGGTGGTACAAATAACTTATTAAAAGGTGTTTAACCTGGTTGGCTTTGTTAAAAACTTAAGTTTGCACAAGAAACAAGTTTGGCTTTTTAAAATAACATTTGCTGATGCTAGTTAGCTGATGCTAATATTAGTTAGCACCGACTATCAAACACCATCTCAGATTGTAGCTATCAAATATTTCAGATTTTGAAATTTTACTTTTAGTTGCTCTTACTTAACATTTAAACTTACTTTTTTGGGTTAAAAAAGAAAATTCATAACCTAGTAGGGTACAATTGATTGATACCCAACCCCATTGAGTTAAAACTAACCAGGGTTGTCTCAGTCCAAACTTGACCAAGGGCTGGGTTTAATTTAGGAACCCATCAGTTTTTATTGGATAATATACTGACAGAGCCACATGGTTTTGTTTGGTGTTGTTCCATAACCGTTAAGAAAGTCTCCATCTGCAGAATGTAATATGAGCTCATGTCAAACCTCGTAGTCATTGCTAACGTGGTTGTGTGTCCGGCTTACCTTGAGAGTCTTCCTCAATGGTCTGATTCACATTTTCCTTTGTCAGAGGTTTTGGAAACATCCTTTTTAATTCTTCCATTAAGTGGCCAGATCTGGCTCCCCTTCCACCTTTTCCTCCTTTCTTATTCTTCCCTACCACAAATCCACCGTTCATTGATTTGAACTGATCAGTAATCTCTCGTAGCGTCCTGTTAATCTGGAGGTCTGGTCGCTTCTGAAAGGTCTTCTTACACAGAGGACACTGGTAAACCTAGAGGACAATGGTGACAAGACGTAAACAGGGAAAGGAAGGGGAAAAATAATGAAACACCAGTGGTTCCTAAACTTTTTGTCTTCCAATTCTCAAAACAAGAGATACAGACTTGTCACCAAGTATTGATGGTTGAAAAATACAAACATTTTCTAGTCTGTTAACAAAAGTGTAATGACAATATAAAAAGTATACTATTTATATACATTTATTACTGTTATTTCAATATTATTAACAGTTAAGGCAAACAACTTAATTGCAATCATTTTTAAATAAATTTTTTTGGCGATCATTTCAAGACCCTAACTTTGTGTTTTGTGACCCACAGTTGGATTCCAACTTTAATTTAAGGAACTGGTCCATTAGAGCTCCCACTATCTCCAAAATCAAAACTACATTAAATAAATTATGTAAAACCAGTATTTTATGAATACATTTTTATATGGAGATTAACGTCTTTACATACATAATTTTCTTTTTCCAGAAAAAAGACTCGTCTGTGTTTGGACTAAATTTGATTTACCGGATTAAAAATCAAGCTAACTGACAGAATCAGAATAAGAATTAACTCTGACCAAATAGAAAATAACAAATGTTTGCATTTATAAAAAACTTATTCTTAAATATTTGTAACTCATGTTAGCAAATTGAGAACAAATGAGCACAGCACAGTGCAAATACGTGAAAATTTTGGTATTTGCTTAATCGAAATTTACATAAAATAAAATACAATCCTTCTAATATACCTTTAAATAGAAGTTTGGACAGATGTCTTCAGAAATTAATCCTTCTACTTCTAAATATTTTAATTTCTCTTGCGAGTGACCATTTTTCTCTACCTGCTGTTGTAGCGCTTGGAAATCCCTTCGTTTAATGTTTGGCATCATTGTGAAACTTGAGTATTCTTCTATTTAAATGTAGAAAATAAATTTTAAACTGACACTTTTACAAGCAAAACTAGCTTGTTGAAAGTCCAGTTGATAAAATGCCAAATTTCAACAAACTACGGATCATTTTGAAGCTTCGGAGACAGAGAATTTGAAAATACATGTAACTCGTGATCATTTTGCCAGCACAGGTCACATGTCATCACTATAGTTTGATAAGCTAACAGAGGATAATTCTGTTTAAAAATCTAAACATATTCCTAAACTGTGCTATGTATCATAGCTAGCATGGTTAGCATGAGACACAACTTGCCTTTATCAGGAAAAAAAGCCCTGAAACTGTATTAAACAGATTCTTGGTTAAATATTTTCAGCTATCTGATAATATGGAAGAATAATTAGATAGATACAGTCATGAAAATTTGATAAAAAGTAAGTTTTTGAGCTAACTGTGTTTTAAGCTCTGATATACAGTAAATTATAGTGGTTCCTAACACTGATCCTTGAGGAACACCATCCTGCGTGCTTTAGTTGTTTCCCTGATCCAACACACCTGATTCAGTGATTTAATTATATCATCAAGTTCTATAGAAGCCTGTTAGTCACACACATTGATTCAAATTAGGTGTGTCAAAGCAGGGAAACAACTAAAGCAGGCAGGATGGTGTTCCTCAAGGATCAGTGTTCGGACCCACTGTAGTAGTCTATGATATGGAGAGCAACACACTGTGCCAATGTACAACTATTAACTGACTGATTTATGCAAGACAATGTGGTCCTCAATAAAACCAGTTGCTCACCCGCACCTTGTAAAAACAAAAACAAAAAAATAAATAAAATGAGATGAAAGAAAAATAAACCCCAACATCCACAAACCTGGGATCCATCCCAGTATCTGCTGATGCAGGTCATGCAGAAACTGTGGCCACACGGCGTGGAGGAAGGATTTGTGAACACATCCAGACATATGGAGCACATGAACTGCTCTTCAGACAGAAAGCTGCCGTTTAAAGACATCCTGGAACAGAAAACAAAGAGAAAAACAGGCTTTAGAATCTGACAAAACATTTGGTTAAAAACAAAAACCCTGTCAAACTCAACATGTTGGTGTACATTCTCAGACATCTATCTGTAGTTGAAGACAAAGTGGAGAAGAGAGCGCTGGACTCCTTCAAGGGAACAAACCCAAGCCAATGGTTTGAATATGTCGACAATACCGGGGTCAGAATCAAAGCTAAGACGTAAAAGCGTTCAGCAGACCCATCAGCTCTGTGGACGACAACATCAAGGTCACCAGAGAGGATAACAACGACAACAAGCTGCCTGCTCAGACTGTTTGGTGTACATGGAAAGAGATGGAAGCCTCAACGTTGATGTTCGCAGAAACCATCCCACACAGATCAGTTTCTGTCCGACTCACCGCCCACTGGAACCCAAACGTTCTGTCATCGGAACTAGCAAAGGAATCTAATAAACATGCCAAAGAACAGACCAGGGAGCAGAACAAACCCAAAAACATTGTCAGCCCACATGTTGCTGGAGTATCTGGAAAAACTCAGAAGGATTTTCTTCAAACTTGACATCTCAGTGCATTTTAAACCCAACAGGACTCTCAAACAGAACCTGGTCCACCCTAAGAACAAAAACCACCGCTCCACAGACGCATGGCTCAACACTGGAGAGCACATCCTCAGGACCAGACTCGGTTCCACCTACACCTCAAGGGTAAGTGACACCCGCTTAGGACCAGAATGATCACATTTTGGACCGAGAAGTTTGAGGGTTTTTTTTGGGGGGGAAGGGGAAGGAAGCCATTTACGTCAAATGAGAAAAAACCCATCTTTAAACAGAGGAGGAGTGTCAGATTTTAACTTTCAAAGACTTACAGTACAGCTTTAGGCCTGGTGCCGGGTCATCTCCACTCTACCTTCATGCAGGTGACTCAAACATCTCTGTGAGCGAGGCACACAAAGAGCCTAATGACCCTCCGTTGTGATGGACGTGAGATTAATCTGCACATCAATTACTGTAGGCATGAAATTTTCATGCAGTTTAAAAGCTTGGAGTGTTTGTAATTGATGACGCGACCTGTCAATCAATTGAGTACGCTTGTCAGCAGCTGACCTGTCGGCGATCACAATTTGTCCCGAAGTGAAACGCCCCTCACCTGCAGGAGCTTCATCCCCTTTTCCTCCCAATGACAACATTGTTGTCACAGCATTACGAACGCTTTGCAGTCATAGGGATTTTGTTAAAAATCATCAGGAAAAAAAA